TATATAACCAAATAAATAAGAAACGTGGAACGTTTATTAGAAAAATGAGTAAGAAAGCTTGGAGGCACGGCATACCAAGGTTATTTTTGTAAACGAAAACTAAAACTAAGACGAAAACGATTGGACATTTTAAGTTGGTGCTTTGAAGAAAAACAGACAAGCAGCGCAACAGAACAAAGATCACGCATCCTTACTGTAAAACATAAAAAACTTTTGCCCCCATCTTGCGACGCCAAAGGCTGTTTTGAACAAATGTGCATAAACTACGCGCTTATAATTCTTCATAAAAGAAAATAACATTTAAATATGCCTTTACTGTTAAATGTCATTGTCTCTCCTTAAACTCTGCAGTGTGTGGCCGTTAGTCCTTTACAGAAACATTAAAAATAAAATGATGCATAGGCTACAGAAAACAGCAACGAGCGCTCTATAAGCTGTCATTCCCTTCAGCTGCAGCACGTATGCGCAACACTGCAAATCGAATGTTAAATTGACTGCTTCATTTTGATGTGCATTTGTATACTTTTACCATCTAATCAATCTCAGCATGCTTTAATTTTGTGTCCCTAAACGTGTGCATCACTAAGGTTAAATTAGCCAAAGTCTTTCTTCGGCCTGTGCTCTGGAAGTGATCTGTTAATTCTGCTAAACTTTAATTAGCCTACTAAAACTAAAACTGAAACTAAACTATATAAAAACTAAAGAGAAATGTGTTCACAAAATAAAAACTAAACTAAAACTAACAAAATTATTCAGGAAACTAATAAAAACGAAACAAAGTTTTATTGCAAATTTGAAAACGATATTTAAATAAAACAAATTTAAAAATGCAAAACTACAATAACCTTGCGGCATACACCTTGATGTAAAAATAAATAAATAAATTACACAGTTTAAATAAAGTAAAAATCAGCAAACAATGTGGAACCAATTAAATAAGAAACTTATTTAAATTACTTAACTTGATGTAAAAATAAATAAATAAATTACACAGTTTAAATAAAGTAAAAATCAGCAAACAAAAATCACCGAAACTTATTTAAATTACTTAAGTTTAAAAAAAAAAACTTCCAAAATCACCTTAGATAAACGGCAAAAGTCAACAGGCTTTTCAAAATCCAAAATATTGCCAAACAGGCGCTTTTGCATCTCGTTTCGAAACTAAATCATTCGCGATAGTCTTGTCTGTCTCACCTCCCCTCACTCTTCTTGTCAGTCAGCTGAAATCTGATCTGTGATGCGACTGTCGTTCGGTACGCTGCATTGAGCAGCCGCATTCAGTTTTTAATTGTAGTGTCTGTTCTTTTACTGAACTAAATGATTTTTATTACTATAAAAAAAATCAAAACGACGGTGGGGGTTGGTGCCGCGGTGGGCAAGTGACGTAACCGGTGTTGCGGCTTAACACCGGTATCACAGTCAACACCGTCTATCGCGGCAAGCCTAATCACAATGACTCTCTCATGAGAATCTAAGCCTAGTTGAAACGACCACTTTTTTAGCTTTTTATTTTGTGAAAGTCCACTTACAATGTTAGTCAAGATTTCTTACATCAAACCAGTCTTTTATGACAATTTTGCACACTCTCTCTGATTTATAGGTCTGTGCCATTGTGCCTTTCATGGCTTCTATATGTAAATTAACTTTATTATAGTTTCTTCGCATTTCAAATAAGTTACAAGGTTTTAAATACTGAACAGGGTATGTAAATGTGGGTGGTCATATGCTAATGAGCTCATACATATGACTATTGTGTTCAAATATGACTACTTTCTACATCAGCTCTTTTACGTCAAACAAGTCCATGTTTTCCACAATATGACTATGGAAATCTTTTACCTTAGGTTCCTGCTCCAGCTGATCTAGGCTGCTCTGGGAGTCTTTCCTCTGTTTGGAGGCGTCTGTCTCCACCGCAGACTCTTCTCCAGAAACGCCAGAGCTTCCCTCACATGAGCGTCCACCTGACAGAATCACTCCAGCTGCACACAGGAGCTGCGCAGGGGAAATCAGCAGAAATATTAGAGGCTGACAACAGCCTGAATTCATATTGGTGAGACTTCATAAACCTATTTCGTATTTTCTTAAACAGAACTACAGAAGTATGGCAACAAAAACAGTTGATTTCAATTATGATTTTAATTTATTCATCTTTCTTCACCTTCATAGAAGCATCTTTCTGCTCCAGTGGCCTGAGACACACAGGAACAGGAAGGTTTATTTTGTTCTCTGCATGGCCACCATTAGCAACCTAAAAAGAACAGGATAACCGTACAATTATAGATGATTTTTATTAAAAGTAGAAAATGTGGAATTAATCAAATATAATGTTGCAATGTTACAAATAGTTCTTAAGTGCAAGATAATAGTACAATTTGAAAATATGGAATATATAAAATAAAAAGTAACAATATAAAAATAAAACAAACAACAAAGTAAAATAAAACAAATAAAATGTTTCAAAACTATTTTTCAAATAGTATAGATTACAGTACAATTATAGATATTTTACAAAAAAGATCAGTAGAAAATGTGGAATAAATTCAAGCAAAACAAACAAAAAAGTAAAAAGAAAAATAAATAAAATGTTGCAGGACAATTAGAGATATTTTACAAAAACGTAAGTAGAAAATGTGTTAACAATAAAACAATCAAATAAAAGGTGTGTGGTTCTTGTTTTGTAAGCCAGAAAAACTGGCCTACTTTCTTGGACAATTAGTTTGAGAACAGAGCTCAAGCTGATCATAAAAATAAGATGGTCTGATCAGGTACTGAAGATGGTAGAAATGAAAAATAAAAAACACCAAACAGTAGCACTGTGATGTGCTTAGCTGCCTGCTGTACTAATAAATATATTATAATACTGAACCTATAAAATAAAATAAAATTATTATTTTTTTTATTATGTATATGCACATAACAGCATTGTGACTTGCTTGGCTGCTGTACTAATAAATATAATTCTGGATAAAACACTTTTTTTAAATAAAATAAACAGTAAAATAAAATAAAATATTGTATTGTATTGCCTTGTATTTTCCAGGGAGACTCCAGCCATGTGCTGTAACCCTGCCGTCCTCCTTCTGCACGTGGGCTTTCACATGCTCGTATTGAGCGCGCTTCTGCTCCCGGCGGGACAGAGAACCATTCGAGTCCACACTGATGGAAAAATTCAAGAAAAAAAGTGAAGACGCATGATGGATTATGTAATGCTAATTAACACTTTGGTGCGCTGTGTGACGCCAGACAAGAATATCTTCATATTCTGGATTTACATGGATTTCAACTGGTGGGTCTTGATACCAAAACACTATGTATGTGAAAATACAAAGCTAAATGCATATTATAAAATGCAACTAGTTATACAATACTTGACACAAATACATGCATGTCATGTAAATATTAATCAGTTTCAAGTTCTGATTTTAGGAACATTTTGGTTTCACTACATCTTTGTTGCTATATTGGTTTGCCAATAATGCACATACAAAAAAAACTGCATCCTGAATTTTATTTTACTTAAAAACTTAGTATGTTTGACAAGGTTAAATAGAGGAGTTACTCTTCTTTGAGGAAGTCGAACGCTTTGGACTTTTCTCTTGGGAACTGGGAGAAGGTGTTGCTCTTTTTCATGATGCTGGGTGGGTTGTACTTGACGTTGGACGGTAAAGCTCTCGCTGTGCTGCTGGACGCTGAGGAACTGAACAGGCGACTGAAGCTGAAACAGGACATAGACAGAGACGGGTGTGAAGAGCCCGAGCTCACATTTGTGATCTGTGTGACTAGCAGTTGAGATGAGGTCTTACAATTGCCTGATGCTTGACCTCTTCTTCTCTGCAACTTCAGAGTTTTCCCTTGAAGCTCTGTGGAAAAACAAGACACATCACTGTATGAGAGCCGAGAGCAAGCAGACAGTCTCCATGTGGCGGCATGGGGTTTTTGTTCAAGAGCCAGAAAAACTGGCCTACTTTCTTGGACAATTAGTTTGAGAACAGCTCAAGCTGAGCGTAAAAAAGCACTAAAGACAGCAGAAATAAACAAACAGTAACATAGTCATTAAAAATATGATTTGCTTGGCTGCTGCACTAACAATTATATTGTAATTCTACACCTATTAATAAAATAAAATATAAAATAAAAAAATAAAATAATATAAAATTTTATTTAAAATTTAATTAAATAATGCTCATAACCATCGGAAATTGAAAAAAGGATAGAAAAGAGCCACTGTTTTCTATTTTGGACTGTAGAGCAAATTAGAGCTATCCTTTCTTCGCAGTACCGTGTTACAGTGAAATGTTTACCGGATCATTTCCGTCCACCTGACGGCCTCCTGCAGCTCCATCAGTCTCTCCTTGTACTGGTTTCGCTCCATCAGGACTCGGGCCATCTCCACCCGCGTGAACCTCCTCCTCTGAGCTGTGGGCACATCGCTCTGCGGACACGGAGTTACATACTGTACACCATTTGAGCATAACAATTATTATTTTAACACGTATTAGTCAATGCATGTTGTTTTAAATAAAAGAATGTAATATGGTGAACTAGAAAATAAATATAATATAAAATAAATATATATTGGAGAGTAAGGGCAACATTTACTGTTGCAAACAGCTTCACACAAAGTTATCACATGGCTTCAGAAGACCTGTTTAAACGCTTAGAGCTGGTAAGATTTTTCTAAAGTTTTTGAAAGTCGTCCCTACAGTAAAAACAGTAATACTCTGAAATATCATTACAATTTAAAATAGCTGTTTTCTATTGCTTTATTCCTGCATCATTACTCCAGTCCTCAGTGTCACATGACCCTTCAGAAGACCCTTTCTTCTTCTTATCAAAGTTGAAAACAGTTGTGCTGCTTAACATTTTTGTGAAAATCATGAGGTTTTTTTTCAGGATTCTTTGATGAATAGAAAGTTTAAAAGAACAGCATTTAGTTGAAACAAATGTCTTTTGTAACAATATAAATGAAAGCACTTTCATTCCGATCAATTTAATGCATCCTTGCTGTATATCAAATTATTGATTTTATGTAGTATTAATCTCACGGACTCTTAGATTTATTGTGATACGTAAATATTACTACTCACCTCATCTTCCTCTTTATTATTGTTTTGTTTGGCCACCTCTGCCTCTGCTTTCACTCTGTGTTATGAAATATTCTTATGAGTCCCTCATTTTCAGTGCAACTGTACAATCTAGTAACACATTTAATTACACAGTCCAAATAGCAATAGCTTCCCATGAAAAAAGACGCACATTAATGTGATAAACCACCTGTGGCTATTAACCTGAATACGTCATGTTTGATTTATTTTCAAATACAGCTACTAAGGCATGATAACTAGAGCCGGAACAACTGCATATGAATGCATCCCTCAGGTGTTTTTGTATTATTTGGTCGAAACAAGGACTCACTTTTTGAGTTCCTCCTCCAGCTCCTTGTTTTTCTCCTCTAGTTTAGCTTTGGCCTGCAAAACCGCATCCAGCTCCCCCTGAAGGACCTCCTTCTCACAGGAGAGCTCGTCCACACGAGCGATCAGATCGTTCTTCACCACGTTCAATGCATTTCTGTGCACACAAACAAGTCGGTGTCAACAACTAAGCAACATAAACCAGTAATTAAACTGTAAAGAGTTACAATATTACTCACTTTGTCTCAAGCAACTGCACATTTTCCTGAATGAGATTCTCCACCTCACGACCCATGCCTGCAGAATACATCACAAAAAACTCTAATAGCACTACAACTGAGGCAAACTGATGACAAAGCAATAATGTGATGATAATAAAAACTCTATTTAAAGATTCAAAACTTTGGAGATGAGTTTTACGTGCCCTGTGTTTTCAGGTTAGACAGGCCGTATGAATGGTCTTACCGGACAGACTCGGGTGTGAAAGCGCATGCACTGTGTGTGTTCGACAGAGAGACAGACACATGGAGAGTGAAACAGGAATGGACAGCTGTGAGGTGAGAGTTAACAGGTCACAGAAAAACCAAGAGATGCTGGAAAGAGTGGAGAGACCACTGACAGATCAAGCACATTCAGATTAGCTATAACTAGACCCACACAGAATCTGTGCCAAGTTCACTTAATATTATGGCTAATGTGACCTACAAGATTGCTACTAACATTGAGTGTACAGTAGTAGGGGAAACCAGGCATCAATTTATGAAAAAGATTACATAAAAACTGTAATTTTGTCATTTGAAATAAGTAATTTTGGGGTATAAAAATGATTTGAGGTATTAAAATGATTTTGGGGACACTCAATATTACGGTCACTATACTATTAAATGCTGTTCTTTTGAACTTTTTATTCAACAAAGAATCCTGAAAAAATGCATCAAAATTACATAAATGTATTCACTGCATTTTAAAACATACTAAAACAAAACAGTTATTAGAAATTGCAATAATCACAATAAATAATAATCACATTATTACGGTTTTCACTCTATTTTATATGTAAAAGAAATTTGATAGTATTAAAGAAATTATATTACTTTGAAGTGTGTTTTAATTTTAGATGATTATAATTTTACGTTATAATATATTTTTTAACAATTACCTCAATGGAGTTTACTTGTATTAAATATTAGAATTAAATCTTTCTCAGTGAATATCAATTGTACTATTACTATTGGAATATACATTCATTTCTATTTCAAAACATAGCAGATAGATATGGCAGCCTGTTTCTGCCACTGAATAAAACATTAAAAAGGTGACTGCGAGTTTTTTATCTCAATTTTAATCTCACTTTTTTTCTCACAATTGCGAATTTATATCTCAAAATTCTGACTTTTCTAGTAAATGCGAGTTTGTATCTCGCAATACTGACTTTTTCTCACAATTACGAGTTTATATCTCAAAATTCTGACTTTTTTCCTCACAATTCTGACTTTCTTTTTCACAAATGCGATTTATATCATGCACTTTTGACTTTTTTTCGCAAATGCGAGTTTGTATCTCACAATTCTGAATTTTTTTCTCGCAATTCTGACTTTCTTTTTCACAAATGCGAGTTTATATCATGCACTTTTGACTTTTTTCGCAATTACGAGTTCGTATCTCGCAATTCTGACTTCTTTTCTCGCAATACTGACTTTTTCTCGCAATTACGAGTTTGTATCTCGCAATACTGACTTTTTCTCACAATTATGAGTTTGTATCTTGTAATTCTGACTTCTTTTCTCGCAATTAAGAGTTTGTATCTCACAATTCTGACCTCTTTTCTCGCAATACTGACTTTTTCTCGCAATTACGAGTTTGTATCTCGCAATACTGACTTTTTCTCACAATTATGAGTTTGTATCTTGTAATTCTGACTTCTTTTCTCGCAATTAAGAGTTTGTATCTCACAATTCTGACCTCTTTTCTCGCAATACTGACTTTTTCTCGCAATTATGAGTTTGTATCTCGCAATACTGACTTTTTCTCACAATTATGAGTTTGTATCTTGCAATTCTGACCTCTTTTCTCGCAATACTGACTTTTTCTCGCAATTACGAGTTTGTATCTTGCAATTCTGACCTCTTTTCTCGCAATACTGACTTTTTCTCGCAATTACGAGTTTGTATCTTGCAATTCTGACTTATTTTCTCGCAATACTGACTTTCTCGCAATTACGAGTTTGTATCTCGCAATACTGACTTTTTCTCGCAATTACGAGTTTGCATCTCGCAATACTGACTTTCTCGCAATTACGAGTTTGTATCTCGCAATTCTGACTTTCTTTTTCACAAATGCGAGTTTATATCATGCACCTTTTTCCTTTTTTTTTGCAAATGCAAGTTTGAGAAAAAAGTCAGAATTGTGAGATATAAACTTGAAATTGCAACTTATAAAGTCCAGTTCTGAGGGGGAAAAAAATATATATATGTTCTCAGAATTGCGAGTTTATCTCACATTTCTGTCTTAGTAACTCAAAATTGCGTGTTATAAAGTCAGAATTTGCGGGGGGTGTCACAATTATGAGATATATCATAATCTCATAATCAGTGCAGAAAATGTGAAAATGTCAGCAGATTCTGTGTGGCCTTGAGTCTAACACTATCACCCCATTCTGTGCTACATCATGCTACAGCAGGTGAAAATGTTCATATCATGTTGCTGCCATACGGTTGGCACTATTTGTTACTGTATGATTCAGTTAAAGGGGAAAGTATGGAGAAGTATGAGGAACAAATTAAAGATTTAAATACAAAAATGATGCTAATTGAAACACAAGCAAAGATTCTCTGATAGAAAGAAGCAAGGATGTCTTACACACCGGAGTACTCCACTGCGGTTAGAGGGAAGAACAGGACAACAGGGCATGGAGAGAGAAATCTGGGTCAGTTCAACATGCAAAACAGAGCATCATGGGACTGTGCCACCATCACAGAACTCATCTCATTATGATGGCAAATTACACATATTTAAAGGAATCGCTCACCTAAAAACTTGCTGAAAATGTGCTCACCCTCAGAACAGCCAAGATGTAGATGAGTTTGTTTCTTCATCAGAACAGATTTGGAGAAATGTATAATTTCATCACTTGCTCACCAATGGATCCTCTGCAGTGAATGGGTGCCGTCAGAATGAGAGTCCAAACAGCTGATAAACACATCACAATAATCCACGTCATCCACACCACTCCAGTCCATCAGTTAACATCTTATGAAGTGAAAAGCCGCATGTTTGTAAGAAATAAATTCATCATTAAGGCATTTTAACTTTAAACCTTTACTTGTGGCCAAAATACCACAATAACGATCAAAATCCACAGACATATTTGTTTTGAACTGTTTTTGCTTGTAAACCGTGCTTGATCTGTGCATATTTCTCTCCTGATTCAGACAGGATGATTTTTTCACTGGAGAAAGAAATATTAATGATAGAGGACTCGATCCGCAAGCAACGGTTTGAAGTTAGAATCGTCTTAACGATGAATTTGTTACAATCTTGTAACTTTTCACTTCACTAGACATTCACTGATAGACTGGAGTGGCAAGGATTACTTGTGGATTATTGCAATGTTTTTATCAGCTGTTTGGTCTCTCATTCTGACGGCACCCATTCACTCCATTGGTGAGCAAGTGATGGAATGCTATATTTCTCCAAATCTGTTCTGATGAAGAAACAAACTCATCTACATCTTGAATGTCCCGAGGACGAGTAAATTCTCAGCTAATTTTTTGAATTAACTATTCCTTTGACGTTAATAAAAATCAAGCTCAAGTAAAACTGTTTTATGTTTGTGTAATATGTTTTTCCCTTCATAATATCTGAAAATTACACCGCAACAAACGTACCCAACAGATCTGCTCCTTCATCCACATCTCCAATCAAACCAGTGCCTGCTGACGACACTTCTTCAAAGAGAGACTCTGTATTTCGGTCGAACGCCATGTTCTCAATCCCTCGGGTCGGGGTGCTTCAACATATCAGCAACGAGCATGTTACATCATTCAATTATAGGCCAGCACTGGATTTAGCATCTGACACTTTAATATGAGAGGGTAAAACTGCAGTTACTCAGTTCAGTTTAGAGAATCCTATTAAACCTAAACAATATTTCTGGGCATCAGACACATTCAAATGTTTTAGACACACTGTTTGATCGATGGCTCATTGGCTACCTTGAACCTTTAAATCCGAGGTCCATGTCCAGCTCTGGTGTGGACTCAATAATGGCCTGAACATCTGACTTTTCCTCATTATCGGCCAGACCTGAATAATCAAAATGGACAACTGCATAAACTGTAAAAATATTTCACAACATTACGGTTTTTAATGTATTTTTAATCAAATAAATATAGCCTCACTGAGCATAAGAACAATCTTACCTACCCTTAACTTCTGAATGGTAGTGTACAACACTAAATGAAGTGCCATTTGAGTAACAATGTACAATTTTAGAGTCATTTAAAGCTGTAACACTTTCCATGCACAGTAAAAAGAGCGTCTAACCCGCAGAGACGCTCCTGGTCCCTGGAGCAGCCTGAACCTCTGTGTTCTTCAAGAATCCCTCTCCATCCTCTCTGTGCGAGTCCAGGGCCAGATCTGAGGCCGTGGTGGACATGGGAGTGACAGACTTTGAGCCTCCCTGGCTGAGGTCAGACAGCTCATCCTGAAATCATTCAACACACAATGCTCATTACCTGAAGGTCAGAGGTCACAGCTCAGGGACAGAGGAGAGAAAGCAACATGAAAACACAGAGGGGTCGGGAAATTGACTTAAACTCTGAATATTTGACAAACTGAGGGGAGACCAACAGGCACGCAAACACACACAGGACAGACACAGCAAAATATAGAATGGATGGCATTGCTTGTAGACATCAATTAAAAAAATAAAAATAAAAATAGTGTCAAATAATAACTAGACAAATCAGTGTCAGTTCAGGCTAAAGGTATTAAAATAGAAGACTGCAAACACTTGACAGCTCATTGATGCAACTGGAAGAAAACTTAAATGGTACGCAAATAACAGCGATTAGAACAATGCCAAAAAATGGAGATTGACCGATACATTTCATTTTTGCTTTTTCAAGTGTCTGATAACTAAATTGCAGAAATATTGAATACAGAATAATATTTTAAAGTTTCAATTTCTGCTCTTTGATAATAAAAAAAAAAGCGTATTTACTTTTTTTTTTTTTTTAAGAATACAGCTATGCATGTTATGCTATTATATTAAAGCTAAGTTGTTTTGTAACTTTGCTGTCTGATTATTAGGATACACATTTAAAAATGTAAACGTTTATAATTTTATCCAAACAATATATTAAATAAAGTGATCTATACGAGTACCACACTGATACTTAAGACCTGATAACAGAGGAGGAGAACAGAAATCGATCCGAACCGATTATCGGTCAATCTCTACAAAACACTACTACAAAAACTACAACGCACAGAGATTTACACAACACACCCCAAACAACACCGCAAATATAATTTACGCTGATGAAATAGGTTAAAAACACTGCTGTAAATGCAACACAATTGGACTGAATGCAGTAATTTATAGAAAAGAAGAAAAACTATGTTAAAGCCAAGTGTTGGGGTATGTTACCACAGAAAACCTACGTCTACAGTACATTAATAACCTACTAAAACTGAACACCTTTGCCATGTTTTACGTACCCACACACTTTATCCAAAATAATGTAAAACTAACATTATTTTCCCACTACACAAAAGGTAACAGTTACTTTTATTTGGAGTGAAGAAATAATGTAACATTTCTTTTAAAGGGGTCATGAACTGAGAAACCAAAATTCCCTTGATCTTTGACACATAAGAGGTCATTGTACTGTAAGTTTCAGAACTCAAAACTTTCTCGTTAGTCTAAAAGCAGCTTATATTGAAGCCAGTACGCCAAAATGACAGCTTGAGTAATGTTCTGCTTTATGATGTAATAATGTGGATAAGCACCTCCTCCACAGAAGATGAGCAACGCCTGCTTCTACATCACTGCCTGTTTAGCCCCGCCCACTGATTCACGCATGTAGTGTGAATAACAAGAGAGGCGAACGCAGGTCTACGCAGAAAACAATCAACTGTATTTGATGAACTTTGTTTTAAAGATTTTTTTTTTTTTTGATGAACTTTATTTTTAAGGAAGTTCCAGACCGTGTCAGTAAGAACTTGGTCCTTTGTCTATTTTATCGCGGATTAGTTTATAAACAAGGCACAATTCGATGCGGGATTTTCAGAGAGAGTGAAACTAAAAGACGATGCTGTGCCGACTATATTGGATCCGACAGTAATGTCACACCACACAAGTGTGAGTACATTACATGGTCACTATAGCTTTGTCTGTTATCGTTTGATATGTACTGAGTATTTACACATTTTTAACCTAAATCACAGCAGCGTCCATCGGTGTAGGATGTAGGCTGTCAAACATACACAAGTGTTAGCCAATCATAGCAGTGGGCGTTTACTTCTGAGTCTACAATCCGCCATTCAAACGGAGCGTTCTGATGAGAGGGGTAAAAACAGAACAGAAAACAGCCTATTACTTCTAAATCATGATGTTTTTGATGGAAAAATATTGATAACATTATAAGTAGACCTCAGAGAACAGTACAAAATAATTAAAAAAGGCAGTTCATGACCCCTTTAAAAGTAACATTCCCCAACACTGGTTAAAACCAATTCATAACGACAATAAGTGTTACAACTAAAGACAGCATTGATAGCACAATGTTAGAAATGTGCAAATGAAGAATGCAATCTAAGACAGCGTGAAACTGAAATGACATGCGGTCAAAGCTAAATTAACACCATGCATTAGCTGTATGCAACTATTTCCTAGATAACTAAAAATACTTGTGCATTACTCCATGTTAACATGCTCTTTTTTTTATTTAGCATTTATTACTAATCTGGACTTTCTACATCTGTGTAGTTGCATGCAGTTAAGACACCGAACCACGTTCTGTGAATAAACTTTCTGACTATAAGAGGACAACAGTGAATTGCACTACACACTGTCCGCCGGCACACAGCCTTGCTACCTTGCAGTCGTTTGCCAGCGAGTCCCAAGCTTCCAGAACATCCTTACCATCCCTTTTCTTTGGAGTGTCCTCCGCCTCCAACTGCTTGGACAAGAAAATTGGGACGTGGCATCTTATATTTGTTTGAAACACAAAACACAATAGCGCTCTCGTGTGTTTGTGCTGTGATCTAGCATTGGTGGGTGGGAAAACACAACTCTAATGTAACATTATTATGCATGAGAACATTTAAAGCAGCGATCCGTACAAGAGAGCTTCAGATTCTTAATGTTGCCATGTTTCATGCAGGTGAACGTGGATGCCGAAGCATCAAATCAGTTCACGTAAAGAAAAATGGCTGTAACATTAATGGAATGAATGTTCTGCATAATGGACTCTTTTCACTTGATGCATTTCCACAGTTATTAACATTGTGAAGTTTTTTTTTTAGATTTTTACTTATTAAAAAAAACGTAAAGTTGTTTATAACTCTATACTTTGTTACATTGGCATTACATTTCAGAAAGCCAGTTAATGCTGCTGCGTTTCTAATACAATTGCTGAGGGATTTTTCATTTATTTTCTCTTCCTACCAATGTAAACAATATGTCTAATTTTTTCCCTCTTTTGGAAAGTCATAGAAACAATATTATGGATTTTTTTTATTTTACTATTGGAGCAAATGGAAACACAAAAATTATATTTGTTGTAGTTTCTTCACCACTACAGAAGAACTTCCAGTTCTGAATAGGGGTGTGCAATATTTATCGTCTGCCATAATATCGTAATTGTTGTGTTAACGATATGCTAGCTGACATTATCGAGTACATCACTCACTTTGCAAAAAATAAACAAAACATGTCTTGAAAATCTAAAAGCCTATATGCATGATGAAGCATATTAAAGTCAGTTAAAATGCTCCTATAATTCAAGTTATGAAAGCAAAAAGTATCCCTGTATGTGTTTGTTTTTGTATTTATATAGTTAAGTAATATCACACAAGCAACAGTGCCATTTTCCTAAATATTAGCGCATGAGTGTGATCGCAAATGTGTATATTAAACAGTTCAAAAAACAATAAATTAATATTCAGTGAGTTAGATTTCAGACATAATATTGTCTGTTTTTTTCTGTTTCACCAACGAAAACAGTTTCAAACATTTTTGCGTCTCAGAGCAACACTGCAGTGTTTTATTCCTGAATGAATCTGTGTTTGAACAGATTATTTGAGTCCATGATTCAATAACCCATTCGTAATAACCCAATCACTTGCTTCATTTCTAAAAATGATTCAGCCGTTTTGAACAAATCATCTGAATGAATGATTCAATGAATCACTCATTAAGACAGGGAATTACTGCCACCTACTGGCGGTTTTAGTGTCATATTTATTTAGAAGAATGAAAGGCCTAAACCAGCCAAGGTGCCAGCACAAATCACCCTCAGCAATATATTGTTTAGTTATTGTTATTGAAGGAATCCCAATAAAAATAAAAAGAGATATAATTTTTTTGTCAATATAGCACAGCCCTAGCTCGGAGAACACTGGAATTGTGAAAAGGGTCCTTTTGACGTTCTTAAATTGAGCATCAGTAAGTATGTCCATTTCAAACCATTCATATTATGAACTGCAAAATATTTTCAAAATTACTGCATATTACACTCGATATCGTTATATATCATTATATATGTTAATATAGTAACTTTGACCCTCTAGTCGTTTAACTGTATCGCAAGCCATAAAATCTAATTTAAACTTAAATTTGATAAAATGGGTGACTGCCGAAGTTCCAGGATGCTTGAAAAAGCGTCATCACTGCCTAATGTTTCCGTGGCAACATCTTTCAACCAACTACTGCTCATATTTTCTTCCCTATCCACCAGCAAACATGTACCTTTACAAAAACAGAGGATAAGCCCACAAAACAAAGACATCAAATGCCTGTCTAACATCTTCTCTTCCCAGAGTTCTTTCATATCATCTGTCTATTATATCAGTTATTTTCTTCTCATGGCCTGGTGTAAATTCCCTCGAAATTTGTCTTAGCACTGTATAAACTCTTATATGATGATGTTGTGATGTTACTGTACCTTGAGGCTGGTGTTAGAGCGCTGATGACTGAGGTTATTGAATCTCCAGCCCTCCATCCCAGGAGTCTCGGCTCTGCCCCGGATGTCAGGCGTCAGTGAAGAGCCACCACCGGACATGGGGAAGATCCCCAAAGACAGGGGCCGCTCTTTCCTGTTTAATGAGAAAAAGATAAAAAATCATCATGCATCATGTATTAATATAAATGTGGAATGCAATCCATCTTTGTTCTGATGTCATTTAATTTTATATAAACAATCATGCAAAAATACCTTTAGAAACTTGCTTTTTGAAACAACTACGTGATGGTGTCTGTTTCTTTTTAGCACAGATAATAGGATCATGTTCATCTTACCGAACTCGGCCAATTGTTCCTGTGTCAGAGGTCTCTCCCCCCGTCTGCTGCATCCGGATCCGTTCCACATGCTCCATGTAGTTGTGGATCATCTGAAGAACAAATGAACAAAAAGTAGGCATATTAATTGGCCTTAAAGAGCTGCAGGTAGTCTCTTATGCTCACCAAGGCTGCATTTAATGAATAAAGTAAAAACATTAATATTGTGAAATGTTATTAAAATAACTATTTTATTTTAATTCCTTCCTGAGATCCCAAGCTGAATTTTCAGCATCATTACTCCAGTCTTCAGTGTCACATGATCCTTCAGAATTCATTCTAATATGCTGATTTGACGCTCAAAAGCATTTAGCATTTGCTCTCTCTTACCTCTGTGTGCCGCAGGTGAAGGGAATTATATTCACGCTTCAGTTCAGCTTCTCGCTCTTCTAATCGACTTACTGAGAAAGGAGGAGTAAAAAAAATATTAAAGAAATTCGGAATGATTAACTTGTTCAACAGTACAAGTGTAATCTGCAAAGATTTTAGCATTGTAGTTCAGTCCAAAAAATATGTCTTTTTTAATGTCTATATCAACTGCTTTTAAAAATTTTGAAAGACAATATTTTGGCATCTTTTGCATGCAAAATGTTAGTCTGCGATGTCTTGTAAACACAAGGTACAAGCTTGGAACAAGGGCCTTGAAATAAATGAGGACAGAGAAACGAGGCTAATTATCACAGCCGTCATCGTAACAGGTTAGCAAACTCCCAAATGACCAATGACGACCCGCAGTTGTTCACTGTACAGCACTCAAAAACCATGCGAGCCAGCCTGCCACTTAGAATTGGCCTGAAACCAGATTTAAAGCTAGTTTGAGTGGGCAAAGCTGATGCTTTCAGTGAGGCCTTTAAAAATACTTGCAGTTCTGTAGAGAGAATATCCACAGAGGATATTAAACAGGCTTGATTTAAGAGGTGGCACAAAGACATAATCCACTTTTAGCTGTCAGGTTTAAATCTAAGCCTGCAGCAGGTCAGCCAAACGCATCCCACAATCAGACCGGCTAATTCACTTTCTACATACTTCATTTCGGCACAGTGATTTCTAGTAGAACTGATATCCATTTCAAATCTCAGAAAAGGGTTTGCTGGAAATCAACGATCCATTAATAGGGTCAGTAGGATGGTTTGAGAAAAGAGAGAGCAGATTAAATTACGAGATGGTACTCTATTATGAACCACGTGTGAAGAACACTAAACCAATACTTCACATAACAGCAAAAGTATACAGAACTATGGACTATAGCTATTTTATACTAAAAAAAAGAAGGTCTTTAAGAGCAGATGCATGGACATTAGTGGTCGACCGATATATCGCCATGGCCAATTTATCGGCCGATAGACAATCAGAGTGCATAATGATGACCTGAAGCACGTCGAAATGCACATTGTATATCTTTATTCACTTAAGGACCCAGGCTGATTCACCCTCAAAGGGCAGCACTGGCTTGACAAGGCATGAAAAAGCGTGGCTGCTGCTGCTGCTGCTGCTGCAAGAAAGCAGATGCCAGGCTCCCGATGATGAAGATGATGTTAGGCGCTAAACTCACCTCCTCGGCGTGTTTCCTGAGCGCTTTCTCGCGCTCGTACTGAGTGACCAGCTGCTCGTTATCCTCCTTGAGGAGCTCCAGCTCCACCTCGTGCTCCTGGTTCTCGGCGAACACCGAGTCGAGGTTCTCCAGCACCGCCACGACCAGCGGCATCAGCTCCTTCACCACGTCCTCGTCGTATTTGCGGATGAGCCTCTCGAACTCGCGGTAGATGGAGTTGGCCAGGCCCGAGACCCTCTCCGACATGATCGCCGATGTGCCCGGGTCGTCCTGGTACACAGCCCCGCCATCTAGCTCCATTTTCCGTCCTCTCCAGAGAGACTGTCCTAGATCTAAACCTCCGCCGTTCCAGACCAACGTGTCTCGGTTTATATCTGAGGAACGAAAGCTGATGTATTCCCGTTATGTTCTCCGAAGCACGGCCACAATGGCCCCACGGAAGTCCAGAGTCCCTTCCTGGAACCGGCCGATGTATTACGTGGAGTATTTCTCTCCCCCGCGGTCGCACACAACAGCTGAGCGGTGACGTCAGGCTCGGTACCGGACCGCGGTATACCGTGATGATTATTCTGGACACATGATAGGGCAAAACCTGTCCCACAGCATGACTTAACATTATCTTATTTATTTTTTATTTATGTTTTATATATATATATATATTTTTTTTTTTTTAAATAGCACAATTCCCACTCTGGAATTAATCGTTTAATTATTGATCATAATTAATTTGATAACTAGAGTGTTAATTATGGGGGTAACCCATATTCAGTTCACAAAGGAAATAAAATGTAATTTCAAAATAGTAATAAATAGTCGCGATCAAAAATTGCGTCGAAATTGCGGTCGCCTCAAGTGGTAATTAGCTGTAATAAGTACTTTGTTTAATATAGCATCTAGACTTGCATTACGTTGCGTTGTGAAAAGCCTAGTGGCAAGGTCAGGGACACTTCTGAATGGTTGGTGTACGTTTCATAAAGCACGTTAGAATAGTAGACATCACTTTATAATGGTTTGTGGCATTTTCTCATGACTGTTTATATTTATATGTAATTCCTGATAGGCATGTGTCAGCTAGTGGTGGCACTTTTGATTTAAAAATTGATTTTTTTTTTTTGCCTCTGCATAGTCTCTATATTATTTTATAATTACAAATGATACAGCTGAACTGTCAAATCTATGCAAAAAAAACTAAATGCGTATTTAATGCATTGTACAAAGCAGGCTACTGGAAATAAACTTACCGTGAAAAATACACATTAAGAGGCATTCGACACATTTGAATCTAAACATAAGAACTCAATATTTGTTGTGCAAATGAACTCCGTATAATCGAATGCTTGACCGCAACATACTGTTAATTAAATATCGTTCTGCAGTTAAGTGCGTGAAAAAAAACATTTTTTTTAAACTTATGTGATATTCTGCTCCATGTAAACAGCATTTTCAACATTTATTCATAATTATGCATTATGCAAAAAAACACCAAAGGAATAACACACAAATCGTGTCCCTTAAAATATTTATTGAAGACATGTAAAAACTAAAAAAATAACTGTAAACCCTACAGGAATGACTCGAGAGGGGAAAACATTGGGGATGTTGAACTTAAAGAAAACAAGTTGTAGTCCATTTAAAAAAAATCTACACTACAAAACTCGCTCCAAAATGTGCTTTGACAGAACATCACTTTATAATGGTTTGTGGCATTTTCTCATGACTGTTTATATTTATATGTAATTCCTGATAGGCATGTGTCAGCTAGTGGTGGCACTTTTGATTTAAAAATTGATTTTTTTTTTTTGCCTCTGCATAGTCTCTATATTATTTTATAATTACAAATGATACAGCTGAACTGTCAAATCTATGCAAAAAAAACTAAATGCGTATTTAATGCATTGTACAAAGCAGGCTACTGGAAATAAACTTACCATGAAAAATACACATTAAGAGGCATTCGACACATTTGAATCTAAACATAGGAACTCAATATTTGTTGTGCAAATGAACTCCGTATAATCGAATGCTTGACCGCAACATACTGTTAATTAAATATCGTTCTGCAGTTAAGTGCGTGAAAAAAAACATTTTTTTTTTAAACTTATGTGATATGCTGCTCCATGTAAACAGCATTTTCAACATTTATTCATAATTATGCATTATGCAAAAAAACACCAAAGGAATAACACACAAATCGTGTCATTTAAAATATTTATTGAAGACATGTAAAAACTAAAAAAAATAACTGTAAACCCTACAGGAATGACTCGAGAGGGGAAAACATTGGGGATGTTGAACTTAAAGAAAACAAGTTGTAGTCCATTTTTAAAAAATCTACACTACAAAACTCGCTCCAAAATGTGCTTTGACAGAATCCACACCACCAGATTTAATGATCTTACCATATATTACTGCATTTCAACAAGCTGATGTTTGCAGGTAATAACTGAATATTTAAACAACCTTGCTGTAATATCACGTCATTGATAAATGTTGCATTCTAAAAAAAATGATACGAGTCACACAAAGAGAATTGTGCGGAATGAAATATGAAACACTCTCTTATTTACAGTTGACTCGTTGCTATGGGGGCATCAACAAGAATAGTTATGTACGTAAGATGAAATACAAATAAGGCATTTAAGTGGAAAAAAATGAAAATACTTTCTTTTTGAAAACAATTTTCATTGGTGGCAAAACTGTTCATTGAAACAAAAGGATGAGTTTACCACATGTACAATGTGGGGGAAAAAAAAAAAAAAAAAAAGGGGGATATAATAATTTGAATTCATGAACACACATTTCATTTCCCCCCCCCCTCTTAAATCAGGAAAGAACCTATTCGACACTGGGAACTATTTCCAATCATGGACAAATTTACAATGACGCATTTAACATTAACGTACAATGCACTGTTCAATATTTCAATACACCTTGCATATAGAAAAGTTTTTTTTTCTTCTTTTTCTTTTCAATAGCAATAAAAAAAAAAGTATTGCAAGATGCTAAAGACAAGAAAAGTTTGCAAAAACGTCCTTGTTTCTGTAAGGGGATGGTTGGCGTCCAGACATGATAAATGTTGCATTCTAAAAAAAATGATACGAGTCACACAAAGAGAATTGTGCGGAATGAAATATGAAACACTCTCTTATTTACAGTTGACTCGTTGCTATGGGGGCATCAACAAGAATAGTTATGTACGTAAGATGAAATACAAATAAGGCATTTAAGTGGAAAAAAATGAAAATACTTTCTTTTTGAAAACAATTTTCATTGGTGGCAAAACTGTTCATTGAAACAAAAGGATGAGTTTACCACATGTACAATGTGGGGGGGAAAAAAAAAAAAAGGGGGATATAATAATTTGAATTCATGAACACACATTTCATTCCCCCCCCCCTCTTAAATCAGGAAAGAACCTATTCGACACTGGGAACTATTTCCAATCATGGACAAATTTACAATGACGCATTTAACATTAACGTACAATGCACTGTTCAATATTTCAATACACCTTGCATATAGAAAAGTTTTTTTTCTTCTTTTTCTTTTCAATAGCAATAAAAAAAAAAGTATTGCAAGATGCTAAAGACAAGAAAAGTTTGCAAAAACGTCCTTGTTTCTGTAAGGGGATGGTTGGCGTCCAGACGGAGAGAAATAAATCAGTGATTGAACTGGCGTTATGCATTCTTTGTCTTGGGCATCTTGCAGTGGCATCATTAGCTTGTGCCCCTCTATAAGTCTGATGGAGACACAACTCTCTGTTCTTTGGCACTTAGGCTGGTAGACTCAGCTTCTTTCCTTTCAGCACTGTGGACCAGACAAAAGAAAGTCAGAAAATGAAGCAGGAAGAGGACTTTCTTTATTCTAAAACATGCCAAATCCTACAAATGGAGGCCAAACGTGCTTAAACCTCAATGAATGCATGCATTAATGTTGAAGGATTCACATAGGTACCTTTACTAAAGTAATAGTTCACCTTGAAATGAAAATAAGCTGAAAATGTACTCTCTATCAAAGATTTCTGCTACTACACCTTGCATATAGAAAAGTTTTTTTTCTTCTTTTTCTTTTCAATAGCAATAAAAAAAAAAGTATTGCAAGATGCTAAAGACAAGAAAAGTTTGCAAAAACGTCCTTGTTTCTGTAAGGGGATGGTTGGCGTCCAGACGGAGAGAAATAAATCAGTGATTGAACTGGCGTTATGCATTCTTTGTCTTGGGCATCTTGCAGTGGCATCATTAGCTTGTGCCCCTCTATAAGTCTGATGGAGACACAACTCTCTGTTCTTTGGCACTTAGGCTGGTAGACTCAGCTTCTTTCCTTTCAGCACTGTGGACCAGACAAAAGAAAGTCAGAAAATGAAGCAGGAAGAGGACTTTCTTTATTCTAAAACATGCCAAATCCTACAAATGGAGGCCAAACATGTGCTTAAACCTCAATGAATGCATGCATTAATGTTGAAGGATTCACATAGGTACCTTTCCTAAAGTAATAGTTCACCTTGAAATGAAAATAAGCTGAAAATGTACTCTCTATCAAAGATTTCTGCTACAGATTTGGAGAAATGTAGCATTTCATCACTTGCTCACCAATGGATCCTCTGCAGTGAATGGGTGCCGTCAGAATGAGAGTCCAAACAGCAGATAAAAACATCACAATAATCCACATGACTCCAGTCCAATAATAATGTCTTATAAAGTGAAAAGTGGCATGTTTGTAAGAAACAAATCCATTATTCATGTGTTTTTTTTTTTTTTACTTTAAACTGTTGAGCCTGGTCAAAATATGGAAAATGCCATCCATAATAGCTCTTCCTCCAGTGTAAATGTCCATACCCTATTGTCCTCTCAAAATCTATGAGCACATGTTTTGAACTGTTTTGCATGTATTGCATTGCTGATTAATCTGTGCATATTTCTCTCCTGATTCAGACTTTTTTTACCGGAGAAAGCAATATTACGGATTCGTATTTTAGCCACATCTTAATGATGGATTGGTTTCTTACAAATATGCAGCTTTTCACTTCACAAGACGTTAACTGATGAACTGGAGTCATGTGGATTACATTATTGCAATGTTTTTATCAGCTGTTTGCACTCTCCTTCTGACGGCACCCATTCACTGCAGAGGACCCATTGGTGAGCAAGTGGTGTAATGTTACATTTCTCCAAATCTGTTCTGATGAAGAAACATTAATCTCACAACAAGGTAAACTGTATCTTAGATGTTTTAAATTCTGAATTAAAGACAAGTCATAAAATTCCATTTTCAATTCAATCAGCAATGTGTTTTAAGAAAGTAAATGGGTCAATTTTAATCTCATGCTGACTTTAAGTTCATCATGACTCGCTCACACCCACGGTCCTTAAAAGATTCAAGATTCAAGATTTTTATTTGTCACATACATGGTTATATAGGGAATATATGACCAGCAGTGAAATGTAAGTCAGGTCCGCTCCATGGACAGTGCAATTATTAAAGAATACAAACACAAGAAAATTATATATAAATATAGGTATGGAAAAAGTAAGATAAAGAATAAAATAATGCACAGGACAGTATACTGTAGGCTTAATAAATATTTAGATGAGCAGGAATGTACAATAGAAGATTGTGCAAACAGGTTGTACATGGGTAGTTACATAGCAGCAATAGAGGTAAAAAAAAAAAGTAAATAAAATATTACTGAAATTGCTGTGTGCAAGTGGCAATGTCAGTATATTAAGTGTCTTACTGATAATTAAGTGAAGTCATGTTGGTGTTAAGAGACTGAGTTTCTCAGTCTCAGTCTAAAAAGGTTTAAACTCACCTTTTGTGATGTAAAGGTAGAAGAAGTCACAATAGAGAATAGTCTGGACGACCCCGGCCACGATAGCAATCATGTCAAAGAAGCCCTCAAAGTAGAACCTCCAGATCCAGTTGAAGAGGTAGAGGGTGCGGTAGACCCCCAGGCAGAACAGATAGTGGGTAGTGATGGTCTCGGCCTCGCCGGTCTTGCTAATCATAAACAGCTGAGGCAGGATGGCCACAGACTCAAGGTAGATAGAAAAGGTCCACAGAATCTGATAAGAAAACAAAAATGTATACAGGTTTGAAACAACTTGAGGGTAAGCAAATAATGAGAGAATTTATTTTTAAACCAACTGTCTTTAACAAGTTGTAATTTGCTTTTATTTTAGTGTTTATTATTTGCAAGTAATTGCTTTTATTAATTTTTTTTAATACATTTTATTTGTGTGTGTGTGTGTGTGTGCGTGCGTGCGTATGTATGTATATTTCTCTTTCAGTGTATACTGCTTGGAATTATTATGCTTGTGTTTAACAACGATAATGCCTGTTGTTATTTGCACGTGTTTAATAAAGGTTCAAATCAAAACTGGCAAGAATAACATTTATGATGGTCAAATGCTCAAGTGCAGTGAAGACTCTAATACTCACCTCCAAAGGAGAGAAGTCGTGGTTGACTAGAAAGGCAAGACCTCCCACTGGAACCACAAGAAACTCAACTCTGAAAGTGTCGTGGTTTCCATCATAAGTTGCCCTGAACTTTACGTAGATCAGGTAGACTGTGGCATAGGCACATCCGACATAGATAACCTATTTTCACAGCACAGAAACAAAGAAACTGTTTAACTACAAAGCTCAGAGCACATGTAAACCTGTTTACACTGATGTGGCAAAACATTGATTTTGCAATCACTGATATTTAAGATTGACAAAGCCATTGATGTGTGCATGTAAGCGTTCATTCTATGCCTTTACCTTCATGCAAGTGTTGTATAGAGAAATGAAGGATGTCAGGAGATCCAGGTACCGAGTGGTGAACACCAAGGCAAAGAGGATCTGGCTCTTCCCAGAGATACCTGAGGGCAAAAATATTTGCACTCAGACAACTGCAACTTACAAGTAAATAAGAGAACACAGCAGCAGAATACCAAACTCATAAACAGTCCAAAAGAGTTGCATCTAGGTTCTCTATATCTCTGTAAATCAAAAGTCTGATTGTATCTAGTATATTAGTATCTAATCAAATGTATCTAGTCTACCCAGATGACCCATCCTTGCAAAGCCCACACTTAACTACATGCACTGCCACGTCAAAGCAAAGAATGCAATGCACTTTAGGAATGTATGGCAAATAAAAGGAGGGAGAATTTAAAACGTATGACATGAAGCATACGAAAAAAAGCCCTTTTGACTCTCACAACGCAGCGTATGAAGATGCAAATTGTCCTCTACATAGTAAAATTAATTGCACAGTATGAATGACGAGATGGTTGATAGAGCGCGCATATATATAT